TGTAGAGGAGAGATCTGGTATTTGCATGCTAACCTGTATGCATATTACTCAAAGAGCCATATTTAAAAAGTCAACATCCAGCACTCAGATGAGGATTTTGAAAAAGTCACTCAATTTTAAGGTCAACTCTCAGATGGAGATGGTGTATGTCACAGTTATCATATCCTATATTCAACACTGCTTGTGCACCTTTGTTTAACTGTAATGGAGAATTCTGCCTTGCTCCATCTTTTCCCAGCACCTTGAATTTATTGAGTATTATAATATATCTAGGTCTGTGAAGGGCATCATGTGTTAAACCATTACGGGATTGTAATGGTATCAGGATTGCTATAGTCAAAAGCTCAAAGCTGTTCAGCCACAGCAAACAAACATTAGTGAGGGTGTGTGTTGTGGACTCTTCCGTGGGCTCTGCAAACACCAAAGAGTTCTCGGAGCAGATAGGCATTTTCCCAAAAGGCAGCAGAAAATTTAAACAATCTTGGTATTTTGTTATCTGATAATACTAACAATCCAACAAGTAAAAAGCAGTGTGTTTCATACTCTAATGCTACCATTGTGCCTGTCTCCCATGTTGTATTCAGACATTCTCACTTCCATCAAGCAGGTACAATCCCATTTTGCCCATCCTCCTGGGTCTCAAGCGCTGTCAGTGCTCCCCACTTCTGCATTTCACTGGTGAAGAGACAAAGCAGCGCTGTTCCTTGTAGCTGCATCTCTGTCTCTTTGCCTCTCCTTGGACAACTGCGAAAAACTGGAATGCAGCTCAATTCACAGCAAGCCTGCAGGACTGAGAATGTTATGAACACAAATCACAGAATACCAGGTTGGAAGGGACTGCAAGGATGATCTAGTCAAACCTGTCTTGCTAAGAGCATGGTCTTCACATGATCTAGTACCTTGCCCAACTGAACCTTAAAGGTGTCCAACACTGGAAAATCCACTAATGGCTGCTGTCCTTGTAAAAAAATTTCCTCTTCTGTCTAATCAGAATCTTCTCAAGAATAACTTGTACCCATCTTCTCTTGAGACAGCCATCTGTTGAGACGGCACTACTGGTAGGCACCCACTGAGGTAATCTGCTCTGAGACTTGTACTCAGCTGGCCTACAAGACTGCGCAAACTTTTAATATAATGGATTTAACTAAGAAGTCAAAGGTATTTTGTTTTGCTTACAAGTTTTAAGTACATTCAAGATTGTAAGACACTTGGACATTGTGATCATACTAGAGTACACTCAGCATTGTACTGCTTGAGCACTCTACAGTCTTGAATGCAGCCATCCCCAGCTTACATTCTGTTGGGTACTCCTGTTAACCTCATTTCACTGACAGGTAACTGAGGGACAAAGATTCTGAACAAGAGCATCACTTGAGTGAAAGAATAGCTTTCTTTATGGGTAGCTGGGGAATGCAAAAGGCTAAGCTACAACCATACATGCTATGCATGTGAAAATGGGGAGAAACATACCCGACAGAGACAGACCCAAGCAGCCAAGCTGCTAAGCTAGTTACTGTGGGTGTGATGAAAAGATGGGGATTTACTGACCAGTACTTTCCCCTCTGCATCAGGCAGGTATATTGTCTCTGGGTACCAGGGATTTTCTTTTTTGCTGGTGTTGTTGCTTGAAACAGACTAAAGAAGATAAGGCAATGATGTTTTCTTTTATGGAATAACACAAAAAAATTCTTATGATGAAAACCTAGTTAACCACACTCCATATTTTGACACAACACTTCAGGTGACAGTGATATTTTGTGGATTTGGCTGCAAGGATCTTGCCCAAAATTGCACAAATCATCAGCAATGAAAGAAGCATCTCAAACCCAGGTGTTCCAAATGAGTGCCCTCACTATCAGGACATTTCTCTTCCATCTGCTTGGATGGAGTCAGATATATTTAAAACAGACCTAAATAATGTCACACTTGCACATCCTGATTTAGACCTGAAGTCTTGCTTGTTGCCTTTCTATACCAAGAAAGACCTGTGCCACCTGGCCATCCTAGAAGGGAGAATTTGTCTATGAAAGTAGAACAGCACAGAAGGGGGCAGGACAGAACCTTAGAAGAAAAGAATAAGAAATTCAAATTAGGCTGAAGAAGGGAAAAATTTCCAACAGAGAAATTAACAAGTTTTCTTAAGATAACAGGGAGGAGATATGGTAAACCAAGTCTTCAAGGACTGAGATAATTTCAATTTTCTTCACGTAAAATTCCAGCCTACAGTCTCTGATGAACTTCTTGTCAACACAGCATGGGCTTGACAATACTGCTCTAGTTTAGGGTTGTCTCCTCTTCCTAGTTCATATAAACTCCAAAGTAATCTTAGTAATCTTCTAAGGACAGGATTCAAAACTCTGCCATTACTGTTATTCTTTATCTTCTTTCAGTCCAGATCAGTATACATTTCCTATTTTGTCTCAGAAACAAAGCTGAAGATCTGCTTCATTTGTTGCCTTTCAGGGAAAGAATCAAAATTGTCTCATCACTAAGGTTATATGGGAAAAGGCCCACCAGGGCATGCAAGTAATGGCCTTGTGGCTGCCTCTGCAGTACTGGATCCACTCTATGAAAATGATCCTGAGATTCATTAGAGCAGTATGCATGTGAGGCTCTGCAGACTGTACCCGTGTTAAAAATAAGACAAGGAATTTGCCATGGAAATTTAACATGCAGTAACATCTCCAAATTGATAACAATGTTTGAACTGTTGGAGATTAGCCATAGGCTAACAAACTGTGCTCCCTGCATCACAAATTTACCATGTTTTATCCAATATCTGAGGCCAAGACCTTAAAACTTCTCTTTGAAAAAGGCTGTGCTCTGCGAAAAGGCACACACATAGGAGTGATTTGCAGTATCTTGTCATTTCACCACCTCAAAACTGTATGAGGTACATTCTTAGTCCCATGAAAACCACCTTGTCTGGAAATCACAATTGGAAAGGTGTAGACAACTAACAAGATAAATATCACACTATTATTTCATTATGCGTTTCTAATGCACCTAACACAGTAAGACTCTAAAAGAGTAATCCCAGTATCTTTATCGTATATTAACATGCTCCCCGTAATGCTCTTGCTCAACCTGCCTTTTTACTGAAATAACTTCAATTAAAAGAAATCCCTTTAAAACACTGCTGTAGAAGGTACAGACTGATACATCTGTCATGACATTAAAAAGATGGGGTTTCATTTTCATATGACTATGAAAGTAAACTAGGATTAACACCAAACACTTGTTTGCTCAAAGAAACAAACCTGTGAAGACCTGGAATCTTCCTATCTTCAGGCAGTGGAACTATCACCTGCTTAATAAAGGTCATCCCTCAGTGAACTGAAAATCCATAGAATTCATTCTGAAAACATCCCACAAACAAAAAGAATTTCTCTGCTTAGCCTCTTGCCTGTATAAGGGGCTTACAAATACATGAACTTTAGAGAAAACACTTTGATTTACTGATGAGCTGCTGAAATATGTAGAGGTGCGTCATTATTTGATGATTTTTCCCTGAACCTCACCTCTGTGTTTATCCAGTTTACTATTCAAAGTAGTAACCTTTTTTATTGCTGAAGATGAAAACACTTTCAAACTGCTGTGACAGAAATTAAAAAGGCAAATATATGCTATGCTATTTTGTGAAAAAACAAACAAACAAACAAACCAACCAAACCAAACCAAAAAAACCATAAAACTTTTTTGTCAGGGAGTTACTGATTATTTTTGGTTGTTAATTTTTAGAAGAGTTCAACTCAGCAGGAACTGGTTGGCAGTTGTCTATTTTTAACTGTTCAAGAACTTCATAGGGGTACTGAGAAAGCAATTAGATAGACTCTTACTACTTTTGTTGGTAGACCTGAACACCAACAAGACAGTAACTTCAAACACTGCATTTTGTACTCTTTGGTATGAATGCCTCTCATTATTTTGACACAAAAAACCATTTAAGTTTGTATTGCCTCAAGGGAACTACTGTAACTGTAGCAAAAAACAAGGAGCCATGTAGTAACATCAGGCCATCCTCCTTAAACATACCAAAACGCACACAGACAGTGTTGGTAGAACAGCAGTGAAGTCTGTTGATAGAAATTTTCCAGTAATTAAATTCCACATTTAACTTTAATTTGTAGACCAATAAATGCAATTCCTAGCATGAACGTGACCAAACCCGGGTATTACTGACTTGGTGCTAGAGATAAGGAAAGTCAACACAATTCTCTTTTCTAGGGATCCAGATGGATGAAGGAGGGGGTTTGCACAGAGCAGCCAAAGACAGCATAGAAGGTGAGGTTGTGCCCAACACATCATGCCAGGACTAAAGGGTACGGGCATGCTTGCACTGGCATTCAGAGTAACAGCAAAGATGACATGGGGCTGCTTTACTTGCTCGAGTGGCATGGGCCAAGTAGTATCTCTACAGTCTATGAACTACCAAGATATGACTATATGCTACCACTTTGTTGAGACTAATCATGGAAGTATCTTCAAAGGCTAATTATGCCAAATTTTTCTTCCTTACTGGGAGACTAAAGAAGAAGTGTACCTTAACAGTGACATTTAGCCTCCTCTCCCCTACTCTACCAGACTTCCAAAGATGCCATACTTAACCTTATCTATTGCACGCTTCCCTCTGAAGCAAACCATTTTTTATTTAAGCAGTGCAAAGCAGAAGGAATTTTTAGCAAATACCTTGATAGAGAAATTGTCCTCAACTAAAACCAGGTATCATCACATAAATATTAACGAAAATGTAAAAAACCATAATCTAGCTCTTCTCCAATATGTGTGTCTCGCTAGGTTGATACTAAGGTAGGGTGGCAGTCTTAATTTTCTATAGTAATCAGAAACTCCCCCACAAAACAGTATGTTAAAGTTATAGTAGTACTCCTTTTCCTTATTTGCTCAGAACAATTGTAACAGTTTTGCTTACAAAAGTACAATAACATCAAAATCACTTGGTCATCTTTAAGAAATTTATAGAATTGGTGCATCCACAAATCTAAATGCAAAAAGTGTATTGCATGTTTATGGTATATAATGCATACTTGCTCCATTTACAGTTACAAACAACAGCATATGTGATAAGAAACTGTTAAGCAAAATACACCGATAATCAGACGACCATGAAAATTTAAGCCTCTTGAACAATTAACATCCTTCATAACACTGCTAAAAGCATTAATGAAAATTTAAGTGGGAAAATGTACATTCTTTATTCTGCTGTTTAGATACAGAATAAAATTTAACTTTTCAGAAAATAAAACTATAGTTACAGCTTTGAGAGCTGTCAGTTTACTTTTGAGGATAAAGTACATGCACTTTTTCCAATTACTTTATTGCACATAATGTACAGTCATAAATGGTGTTTTATTTACATGTCTTTTGGCAATGTCCATGTTTGCTTTTCCCCTCGGAATACATTATTTCGCACAAACAAAACCTTAAATGTTTCACACAAACTGCCATAATACAAGTCAAAGCATATATGTATATATGTTATTTTATTGTTGCTGCTAATTCTTCTAAGAGTTTCAAATCTCAGTTAATCTTTGCCTTGGGAGGCAGATTCCCCCCAGTTATTCTGTTGTTGAAGACGGACACCCGAACTGCAGGCACTAAGAAATTAGCACTACAACCCGCTGTGCCTGACCCCTAGCCCCTATGCAGAACCATACCACCTGCAATTAGTGCACAGGCACAGAGAAGGAAGAGCACTGTACTTTCGTTAACCAGTTTGATTCAACATTAAGTATCACGTGTTAATGTTATGGTTCACGTGTTATTTGGACAGTATTCCGTTAAAAGTGTTTTAGAAAAATATATCAAATACATTAAAACAAACCAGAAATTCCAGTAACAATTATATACTTCCAGCCCTAGGAATGTGTTACTCAGATTCCATTCTGTACAATATGGTACTTATGAGAACATTTTTTTACCCAGACACAAAGAATTCAGTTTTATATACTCATAAGCATGTTTCCCCCAAGTTAAAGTAATTTCTTAATGGATGGCAACACACTTCAATTTTTCCCTGCATTTTCAGGGCAGAAAACCTTTTAGTGGTCCCCCTCCTAGAGTACAGTCTGGCAATAAACGATTCCTAACATGTAGATTTTTGACATACTTTTAAAAGGTATGTTCAAATAAAGGATCAATATTGTCAGTATACACTGAACATATGCTCACTAAAAATACCTTTAATAAAAATCCTTGAAAACTCTTTTGAAATATATCATGGATTGATGACATGCACAAAAATACTCTCAAAGAAACCAAATTTGTTGTCTTGAATGTATGATTTTCTTGAATGTTAAGACAATTTAACCTCAGAATAATATGAACCTAACTTCAGTTATTCAGCAATATTGAAGTCATCCTTAAATTCAGTTCTAAAACTACTTTGTTTCTTTCCTATAAGCAGATGAAGTATAAAATAGTTAAATTTTCAGACAGGCACTTAGGTAAATTGAGAAATGCCTTTGGTGGACAACAATGTATAGTATTTTGATTTTAGCGTTTTTCCCTTTTTTTTGCTGTCCTTTAGCTTTAAAGTACTACAAAACTTACAGCAATTTTCACTATTGTATATACTGAAGAATGAGATGAAAATGCACTGTGAACAAAGTGTGACAGTAGTTAATATCTATTGATAAAAATACAAAATAATAAAAATACTACAGGACAGCAGTAGTCCTGGGAATAGAAATATTCTTCAATATAAAATATTAAACTTTTGTTCCATCTGAATAGTTTCACCTAAAATGGAGAGAGTACTTCACCAAGCTTAAATGTGTGCCTCTGATAAAATTCTTTAGGAATATAAATTATCGGCTCTGTAATGACACTTTGTGCCATTATCCAGTCAAAAGGTTTGGTATAATCTGTACAAGTGAAACTATTCAAAATGCATTGATATTTTATCTGTACCTAAAATTTCTGTAAAACAAAGAACTACATGCCATTAGAAAACTAACAAACATTATCAAAGCTAGACTATTCTTCACTATAAAATAAAGATGCTTTCTATTTTAATTACTACCAATACTGTGAGAACCCTTTAACACTCAAGTTTTATATTGTATGGATTTCAAGATAAATAGTTTCAAACATCATAAATTAAAGGAGGCATTTGAACAGATTCAGTCTCCTCATCTGAATTTTTACCATCTACAGGAAAAAAATAGGATTTCACAAAAATTGTTGACATCAGAAAAGTTATCTACATTGAGGATCTCCCTCAACATTAGGTGTAATTACTGTCAATTTAAGATTACAAATCTAGGAGAACTACCTGGGAAATGTAAAGGAGCTTCAGATAGCTTAAGTTCTAAGAAAGGGAAATGTTTCTGTAAAAATATTTGCATAGATGTACATTCAAAACAGCATTTTCGCCATTTAAATTCCCTGCATTTGTTTTGCTCAAGTCATCCACAGGGATGAAGATCACATAAAGGCAGCCCTGGAATTTGAAATGGCTGTTGCTTGGTAATTTAATGAAAGGTGTATTTTTGTACTTTCTGCAGTCATTAGGAAAAGATCCAGTTTGACCTTTGGCTTACATGTTGTACTCCCCTGAGCTAGGCAATACTGACAGACTATAGCAGAAATACAAAAAAAAAAAAAGATACTTGAAAATAGTGTGGCATGAAGACAATAAGGCACTTTTCACAAGGAAAACTCCCAGATTTTGTATTTCAATGTACAACAATTCTATCCAGAAGTATTTTGAAATGTCACATGATGCAACATGAATCAGGTGCCAAAACCAACGAATCACGAATTACTGTGAGATTAACTGCAACCTCTGAATGGTTCAACAAAGAATCAAACTGGTTTCTGTACACAGTCATGATTTACCAATGTACTGGCATCTTTGCTCTTTTGCTGTGAGCTGACAGTAATTATTTTAGAGAAAGAAAAAGAAAGTGTGGAATTAGTAATGCAGATGCTGAAAGGCAAGTGGCAAGACTCTACAAGAATGTCTCAAAAAATGCTACTTTGTTCCCATTTCTACTGGCACCTATTCCCCAAGGTAAGAGGCCAGAATGACCAAAGCCAACTTAATAGTAGTGTGCAGAATGTCAGCTGACAAACAACATAAAAACAAGTCACGTTGTGTTATCTGTGGTCACGTTCTTCAGGGTTAGTCCAGTAACTCAAGACTTTACATTCTTCCGTCTTTATTTGTTTATCGTAATTAAACATGTAATGGTTAATAAACAGACATAGTCCAGAGTTAGTAGGTTGGTATTATAACATTTATTAAAATAATGCTATGGGTTAATAGAAACAGCAAAGAACCAAAGAATTAAAATGCAAGCTATGTAAAAACCCAACTAAAACCCAAATATGTCTAATGTATTCATCCAGTAGCTAACTAAAAGCCCAAGAAAGACAACACTCCCAATATAATAAAGTACTGCAAAACAATTGGCAATTTTTCAGTTATCAAAATTGTGGGTTTTGCATTTTGTATCCTTTTTTCTCAATCAGGAAAAAAATTCTTTTGAATGTTATATAACATACATATAAAACAAGATAGAAAAATACATTATAAACTTGTAACAATGGCTGTAAATACATTATCTTACATGTTTCTCATAGGCAATAGGTTGGTTATGGTACATACATAGCATGAAACTACTAAGATAATAAAGAATAGACAAATACATGTCATCTGTACGGTTACATACAAGCGACACTCCCATCTACCCACTCTAAAAAAATTACATAATACTGTCAGAAAGAAGTCTTAAAACTACTTATTTTAATAAAGAAAAAGTCATTAAAGAATGATAATACTGAGAACCAAGGCATTCAGAGATTTCAAAAGTCATGCTTTTTTTTAAGTTGATCCAAAATTTTGTCAACTAAGTTTTCAGAAGTTTGTTCAGAGCAAACATTACTTTCACATGTCACACATCTATTCCATACACTTCCCCTACCCCCCAGAAAAGACCTTTGATAAATGTCTAAAATGTCCAGGTTTTATCACAGTTGAGATGAAACTGGATCAAATACTGGTATAGTTTTAGCAAATCTCTCTTCAAATGTTCGAGTGTCGCAAGTTTATTCAACCAACCAACCAAAATAAAATCAAAATGGCACAGCATATACTGTAAATAAAATCAACACAACTGTATGTGTAACAGGAAGACAAAGCCGGTGGCACAATAAAGAAAAATCTAGCTGAATACAAAAGGATGAATGTCTATTGCATAGTAAATAAACTGATAATTATTTCCAGGTGAGACAAGATGTTAGATGAGGTCACCATGCAGGTGCTTAAAAATGTAAGCCCTCTTAGCTTACTATTGACCTTTCATTTGGAAGCTGTGAAGATTTGCAGGAGGCGAATAAGTTGACAAGAGGGGACTAAAATTATCACCTGATATTTGCCAAGTTTAGTACTGAGCCCCACAAAGTAATACTTAATGTTTTCAGAATTAAATACTGTGCGTTCAACAGCTTCAGCTCTTGCAATTGCCCAGCTATTTGAACCTCATGTGGAAAACAAAGGTTAAAAATAAAGTTTAGCTGGACTTCAAACAACTAGCTGATGTCCCTCTCCTGCTTATCTTTTGAAGAAAAGCCAACAGGGAAGATCTAACAATAGTCAAAGACAAGCTGAAAAATAAATAACTTCCATGCTGTTTGCTACTGCAGGAGCTGTTTGTGAAAACTGGGGACATGTTCAGTAACTAACTGAAAACCAGCCAAGCACTTTCAGTTTCATTATTCACAGAACATCAGTTTTCTTGGTGATGCCGAAGCCTACTATAGTTGATGTATATTTATTTCAACCAAAATCAAGAAAACTCCTCTCCATCTCTGAACAAAAATGACAGACTTCCAGCTCTACAAACATTTGTCAGCTAATAATCTCCTTTAGCATGAGACAGTCTGTATCATAGAACCCTTTGGTCTACGTTGCACAAGTATGGCATTTGCTATGATTTAAAAAGTAGAGTGGTTGAAATAATAATGGGCCGGTTTGACAAAAACTTAGCAAATATTTTGCATAATGAGATTTTGGCAAAGTCACATCACACTAGTATGGCAAAAATCAGGTAATTAATATGGTCAACTCATCATTTGTCTTCCCTCACAGCTTCTTTCACATACTGGGCGTCTGAGTGGCATGCAGTAACTTGTCTGAGGGAGAAGCTGATTATACAAGACATTTGACTAAATGACCATGAAGAAAATAAGGCACTTCCTTTTCTTTAGACTTATTCCAATACTTAAAAAATAAAAAAGAAAGACTAAAAGGCTCTTTTGGTCTTTTGTTTCTTGACAACCACCAGAAAAAATCATTTAATGAAATAAAGGGTTTCTTTGTTCTTTTTTTCTTTTTTTTATAACACTTGAAAGTATAAAATGCTACATTTCCAAAAATATATTTTTTTTTCTGCACCAGCACCCTTGTATAGTAAAAGTATCTACTTTTTTGTTCATTTTGTTTCAATGCACTACACTTTATCTACAATTTCATTACATGTATACAGCAAATAGGCAAGCATGGCTTTTACATCCTTAATGAAATTTTTTCTATACAGGGAAGTTTAAAAAAAATATTTGAACAGTTTGCCCAGTAATGTGACACATAATGCATGTACCTTGTTCTCATGTAATCTTCCAAGGAGATTAAAATATGGTTAAAACAATTTAAACTTGTATTTCACTTTAATAGTGTTGCTGTTTTGTCCTCTGCATTAATGTAGTTCTGAAAAGTCATCATAATCTGCATTTCAATGGCACACTTTCCTTTAAAACGTCCAATTTGGCAGGCAATAGAAAAAAGGCTGCAACATCTGCCCTTTGAGGGCACTGGTAGTGACTAAACGGCGTATCAAATTTTGAATACTTTTTAGAATCCCTTCCCCAATGACATCCCTGACCAAAGGTTCATGCATGATGCATCATCACACAGTACATTCAGAGAGAGCTTTGACTTTATTTTTTTTTTTTTTCTGAGAAGAAAAATATTCCTAGAAGTCTCTCACAGTAACTGCCTCTGTCATCGGGTAGTTAAGGGACATCTGTCTCCATCTTGTGTGAGGCCTCCTTACCGTTCGCTTGGGGCGGGACACTAGAGGATGATCAGTGCGGAGGGATGAGTTGGACCTTATTGCTTTACTACTATTCAGTGCAGGTTCTAGAACCACTTTCACCCAAACAGGAGAACAACAAAAAGCGGAGTTGGAGGACAACAATTTCTTTGTCTGTTTTGTTAGATGGTAAGACGAACGGACAAGTGCCCCAGCTCGCTGCACTGAAGACAGGCAAGCAAAGGCGTTTACCAGTTAACTGATCAGCAGGCAGGCATGGTCAGGTCATCATTGGGTGAAGAGTTCAGAGGTCAGAAGGTCATAGGTTAGTTGCCGGTGGCGGCTGGGTGGTTAGAAACAAAAAAAAAACAAAACAAAAAAAAGAAAGAAAAGATAGAGAAGAGATTAGTTCCAGCTAGTGACGGCTTAATGACAACATGAAAACTAATCACAACTAATAAAAAAAACAAGCATGTTTAATTCTGACATACTGATCGACACCATCTACAGAATGCAATAAAATCATGACAGCCCTCCATCATGATTTGGACACGTGAAGGAGAAGCCCACTCCCACAAAACCGGTTAACAGGAAAAATAGAGATAAAATATGACTAACGACTAATGGTTAGTAGCAGTCGATGAAGGAAATTGGAAAACAAAAAACAATGAACAGTTCTTGAACTGGGTAGAAGATTTCTGGAACAACAGTCAGTGCACAGCATCAGTATCTGACTGCTATTAAGCATTAGTACTTCCCCAGGTGCAAGCATTAAAGCAACTATTAATGATGGATGTGATTATTAATAACTGGTTGTTAAAAGAATGGAGTCATCTAAGGAATTCTGGACTTAAGAGAAACAATTTGGTTCAACAAACTATGGGCCAAACAAAGGGTTTTTGTTCAATAAATTTTTTATTGCCTTTCATTTATTCTATTTACAAACAACATGGAATTTCTTGGCCTCATGATACAAAGCAGTACTAAACTGTAGTCTAGCAACGTAGGCATCACCGTGGGAACCAGGAAAATGCTCAGCCTCCTACTATAGCCAGCATTTTCCTGTTCAAAATACTATTTTACACATATAGGACACTTATAAAATGCACTTCCATGTAAACACTGTAAAAGTCCTGCCATTTTAAAGTCTATACTTAAAAAGCTCTAAGTACATGAAAAAATAGAGAAAATATCTAATTGATACTAATAAGGCATTTTAAAACTACAAACAGCTCTCTTTATTCATTTTCAAAGCTAATACTCTGCAAATACAATAAAATCTGACATTTCATATACATTCCTGCTTTATATTTTTATATTTTAAAAGAAGCCACCTGTAAATACTATTTTCTTTTGCAAAAAACCCCCCCCAAAAAAACCAAAACCCCAACAAAACAAAACAAAACAAAAAGAAACCCAAACACAAACAAATTACAGTAAAACATAAAAAAGTTCTCAAGTGGAAAGTTATCATTCCCAATGTTCTTGAGCTATTCCTTCTTTAATCATTCTCTCGCATTCTCCTTCACCAAACTTGGTCCACTTAACAGTAGTATGATTTTTTTTTTAAGACTCATTCAACAGCTTAATTATAGCTAATAAATTCTGAGGTTGATAAAAGTTTTTGTACTGTTGCCATTTTGACTAAGGCAGAGGAGATGAAAGTGAGAAAGGTATTCAGTGCAAAGTCAGATTTGTGCCATTACATAAAATGAAGTCCAGTAGGTGTAATATTCACAGATACCATTGACTAACAATCTTTCTTGTGGGTTCATTTACTTTCACATAATAAAAATGGCCTATCATTTACGATACAGTTCATAACACTACCAAAAATTACTACTGTAACATAAATGAGACCAAACACTCCCTGATTTATTTTTTTTTAGAATCATGTTTAGTGGGATTTGTTTAAATTAAAACAGCTGTTTCAAAAAGAAAAAAAAATATTTCATGTGGCACAATCTTACCACTTCACAGGTATACTAGAAACAGACTCTTAAAGCATATTGATACTGATTACAATTTTGATTAAATAGTATTAAAATTTACACATAAATTATGTGACAATTGGTTTGGATAAATTCAAGAAAATTCTCAGCATTAATATTTCTTGTGGAGTTTAAAATCAAAGCAAGCTATTTTTAAAAAATACCAGTACACCTGTGATATATCCTCTGCCAAGTCTCTGGCCTTCTACAGTACACACAGGTTTGTCAACTGTGCAACACCATTTACAGTTTATTACAATTAAATCAGTCAGTCTCTCTGTTATAGGCATCAAATTCAATTTTGTATTATTTATAAACTGGGAGTTTATTCTGAGTTAAAATGAGCTATATTTTCCAACCCTTCACCAATTCTAAATGCTTAGTTGTAAAACATTTACACATTTGGGGATTCTTGCTTTAAATGCAGTGCTTATCTCTGGAAAAAAAACCCAAAACAAAACCAACAAAAAAACAAAAGAATAAAAAACTACTTAAAAAGTGAATGCAGTAGTACAACAAAGTCATCTGAAAGTCAATTTAGAATTAAAAAAACCCCAACTTTAGACCCGATGAATGCAAAGATAGATTTAGTGACATTTAACTATATAAAAAATTTTCTCATTGAAAAAAAAAAGTATTTCGGTTTGCTGACATTGCTTTTCATGGCCATAGCTATAGAATTATCTTGGTGACAGAACAATCAAATAGGTGAATATGGTAAATACTGATAGCATTTTAATTCTACAATATAATTTTAGAACATTAAAAGACATTTTTATTGCGGAACAAAGTTCTCTCCAAAACATTTTGTGAAACTTTTAAATCTGTGCAGTGGTAACCTTGGATTTGAAATTCAAAATACAATGAAGTTCAGTTGTAAAATTAACTTTGTGTTTCTCAATATACACTGACATTACTTAGGTAAGACTTCAAAATAAGGCTCTCCTGAAATATCGGTATGGTTTTCGTAAGAGAGATGTATGCATGACTTATTCCACAGGAGGTAAGATATTTATTTATCTACTTAACACAGTGGGTTTCCACTTTGCTAGAGACGAATGCTGTTCTATCAGAAAATGGCTGTATTTTAAAAGAAGGTGAAATGATACCAATAAAGTAATTTCAGTTACTTTTAAGTGACCCAGATGTAGCACCTAGGCACTTCAAAAAGTATTTAAAATTTATGTTCAGTAAACATTACAACGATGAACTTAAAACTACAAATTGGTATTTTCTCCCTGACAGCACCAACCCCCAACTTCCCCCCACCTCTGCTTTATCAGTATATTTACTAGCCGTCTCAGGCAAATATCTAATTAAACAAAAAGGTAGCCTCACCTGTCACCTGAAACTACCACTACAGATCATGAAAAACTGATTTTTGCAACATCAGGTCTAACTTTGAAAGACAACCTTACTACCTATTTCTCTTGAATGTGATAGAAAAAAAGATTAGAAAATATTAAAACCTATTTCCTTTTTTATAATCTTTTTTTTTTTTTGTAAACATGGGCTATGATTTTCTACTGATTATATACCCTGTTGCCCGACCGAAGAGTTCTCAAGAAATGAGAACAATGGGCTGCAAATAGTGTGCAGTGATATAAAACAATCTTATCGAAAACTAAAGTAGTGTCTTTTATCAGCTTTACATTTTCTGTAAAGACTAGGATCATATGAAAGACGAAAGTGTTACGTAAATATAGCAAATATCCAGGAGGGCCCCTTTTACTTAATTGACCAAAATCTGCATTCTTTCCTGTAGTCAATTTATGGAAGGTTGAGAGAAGTGTAGTCAGTGTTAGGAAATGTCAGATCTGTCACTGGAATTTGACTTTTGAATATTACAGTATCATGGAAACCTGCACAACACTGATTTGGATGAGACCAGAATAATAATACTTGGCACGTAATGCTTTGCATCCTCAAAGCCCTGTACAAAACAAGAACCCCCACAACACCCCTGTGAGGTAGGGAAGTATTATTATCCTTATTTTACTGATGGGAAAACATACACAGAGAGATTAAATGACTTGCCGAAACCCACAGCAGGGATGGGGTAAGAATTTATCCCCTACACTATGTCCTAGTCAATGTCAATAAACCGAAAATATCAGTTTTCTCAATAAGCTTAAATAGTTCATTCAGGGGTCCAAAGGCATGACACTTGAGGAACAGGAGAAAAATGAAGATTTACTTTCCATTCAAAGGTTAAAGAGAGATGCCCAAATATTGGATGTCATCTCACCAACAGGACTTCAAAAGTTGCTTCTCCTTCAGGTTACACATTTTAGCAGCAAAAGGAAAATACCAAGAAATAGATATTGGAAAAAAAAACAACAAACAAAGAAACAAACCAAAAAAAAAACCAAAACACCAAAACACCCTCCCTCCTCCTACCCTTACTAATTCAAACTCAAACAACTTTTGAAGTTATCTTCACAGCCCTTACCTTTCTGAATTCAGTTAGGTATCTGAGAACATGCATCCTCCTCATAATATACAGTACAGTGGCTCAAAAGTTTATTGGAAAAAAAAGGAATCTAAATCTTCAGATTTCTCCAGACACAGACAGGAGGCATTTATTCCTTTACTTCTTTCTCATTAAGCAACCATCCATTCATTTTATTTTGCAACACCAATCTGATATTTCCACACCAATTAAAAGAATGAACTGGGGGAGGGGGGGAGGAAGCGAACACAACCAAATTAATTATTGCAGCACTGATTTCATAGCATTTCCTGATGCAGATGGTTCTTTCATTTTTAAAACTGTATCAGCTATAGTATTTCTATTAAATATATCAAAGTATATATATTTAATTGAGCTGGGAAAGCCGAATTTACAATTGTTTTTTTTTTAAAACCACAAGCATTCCCAAAGGTTTAAAATATGAACTGTTCAGATTTTGGAGAAAAATAATGAATGGGTCAAAATAGGGTATTTGGTTAACCAGCTGTGGTGTTGCAAATCTCATGTACACTCAAAGCACTTCTTACAAACAAGAACTGCAGAACTAAACTAACCTCGGTCTGCGGTCACAATCCTTTGGTAAGGATGGACACGCATATCGTGCCTTCGAACTTTAGTAGCCACCGCACCTAGTTAAATTGCAATTACCAAGACAAAGTTAGAAAACATTCACAGAAAACATTAACAGCAGGTTTATCAAAATGGATTTAAATGATCATTAACTACAAAAGTTCATTTTAAGAAAAGCAACAAGTTAAGGCACAGTAGTTTCAAATCTTAATCTTAAAAAGAAGTTTATCTGTGCAGATTAATATTGCATTTATTTTAAACATCCTGGCCTTAACCTGTTTAATCCATTCATTTACAATCCCAAAATTACAGTATTTCATGAAATCTATTAGACCCAAGCACATTTAAGCTTTACTAGTCACATATTCACTGAAGTGCCTTTCTTGCAGCAGGACTATTTTAAATAATGCCATCTTTTAATACTGACAATTATTTGCTAACCTTAAGATCACTTCCAGTTCTACCACAAAAAAAAAGTTTTAAAGCAATTCTTCAAGCCTACAGATTGTGATTTTAAACTTTAAGTCAATAAGTATGAACTGCAATGAATTAGGTGATTAGTAAAGCAAACACTATATAGAACACTTAGCAGTCAGTATACTACTATACACTCATAAATTACAGCTACTCTGTAATAATAGGACCTAATCCAAATTAATAGCACTATTTTATTTTAAATCTATGTGCAAAAAAGTGCAAGTAAGTCACTGACTGCTAGGCCAAGCTTTTTTCAAGGCTGCTGAAACTAAGCATTTGTTAAAATTCAGATCTGATGAAGGATCAGTTAAGACCGTTCTTGAATTCTTAGCCTTTCGTTGGGAAAGCCATACCTGAAGATAAAAGGAAGGGAATTAAAAGTTAGTCACCAACTAAAATTTGATCCCAACACCAATATCCCCCAAAATACTGATAGGGATGCATTTCTCTGCCATTTTTAACAGAATTATTTTAAGACATCTTAAAGGTCCACCACAAAAATGGACAAAATACTATAAATGAGAATAAGTGTGTAACAAAATAAAACTCAATTAAAATTAATTTAATTCAATTAACTCTATACAATTGCTCAGATAACAGAGCAGATGTATTAAGAGTTATTGATTATATGCAACTTGAGCGGGAGTGTGGGGGTTCCCCCTCCTCCCTTTTCCTTTTTTAAGTAACATTTTTTAATGAGATCTATTTTGGGCAATCCACCTCACACAGCTAAGCCCAAGAGTATGCAATGGTTCCAGATACCATTTTAGGAGTAATTTTCCCCTCCTCTCTCTTCATAGAAAATCCTGTGAGAAATTGAAGTTCCTGCATCATGTTAAACTACTACTCTGGAATGATGTATTTCTTTACTTGCTATTAACTGAACTCAGGAGAGGGGTTTCCCCCTAACCAACAGCTGACAGCTACTCTGCTGAACTCTGTAACTGTGACTTTACCCCAGGATGTATCACAAGCGGACTAAGAGATTGGGGTAGAAGAGCTAGGGAGAATATTTACATGTTTGTGGGAAATAAATGATAACGGCTCACTGAATTTTGGGTATGGGGTAACACAACCACCATGAACTCCTCAAAGACAGACCTACTGCATACTTTTGTCCTACCAGAATTTTTATTATTGATTCACTAATCCTGCAAGACAGGATACATAATATATATAATATATATATGTAATATAATGTGGAAACATGCACACATATAGATAACTCACCAAGTATCTGTCATGTGAAACACTGATTTTTCGCAATACTTTCAACAAAATATTGACTTTGAACCTTATTGTCCAGTGTTCATTAGAGATGTTTAGAATTTGTGTAAATCAATAACTGCCACTGAACAAACTAAGATCAAAGTCCTATAAAATCAACATTATGCAGCACCAAGGTCATATGCAATTCAGAACAAACTGAAGAGAAAAAATTATTTAGATTCTGTAGAGGGTAGGGAAGGAAGAAACTATGGGAACTGCTTTTTCCATATTGACCAGTTAACTGAATTGTCACAGCTGCTTTATCATTCTTGCCTTCACACAGCAAGTCAGTGGTCTGATATATTAGGAATGATGGGCATTTCAATGCAATGTATATAAAAGAAGCCATCAGCAGAGTTGCTAATTTTATCATACTTCGGTGAGAATTTGGTTTGCTTTATATTCATTCACTGAAATTATTTTCTGCTTACAAAACGATTTACAGCTTTCTGACATTGACAAGAGATTTATCAGTTGCGTACTAAATAAAGCAGCAAAAACTCCAACTGAGAAAAGACCTTTCCACTCTCTCCGGTTTTGCTACTAAAACAATATAGCAAAATAAGAAGCTCTCTCTTCCAAAGATTGCTGGACATTAATTTATGTTAAAGAGAATACAAATAAATCTGGTATTTATGGCAGCCCAAATGACAGGTAATAGATGTCGACTTCTATGTAGCTTCTTATGCCTGTGTATCCACCATCTAATGTTATATAAACATCACGATTTTGTTTTCAGTAATCTTATAAATAAACATACACATTCAAGAACGCAAAACATGTTTAAAATGTACAAGAGATGCACCATTTGAGCAGCTCTTCTAGGCAGTTTTGATATACCTGATTTCAGTTTGTTGCTTCAAATTTGTTTCTTTGAGCTCCATGACCTCTACTTCGCAAATACCACAGAAGCATAAGCAATACATTCTCCAGTCATCCATGCACAAAGATCTTACCTAATACACCACTAGGTTCAATAGGATACTCAAGGATTGATGTAGCTGGTGCCAGTGTGTAGGGGTATTCATATGGTGTGTAAATTAAACCGGCTTCGGGTCCAGGTGGAACTATTGCAGCGGTGGGATGAGGAGTTCCGTTTGGCATGACAGCGGTTTGTATTTGTCTGATCAAAGGCATTATGGTAGGGCCAGCTGGCGTAGGAGTACGCAGGGCAGCTGGTGGGAGAACAGGCGCAGGCCCAGTAATAATCCTTGGAGCCTGGGCTGTTGCTGCAAGAGAAAAGGCAAGGGCTGCTACAGTAAGCAAAGAAATTCAGAGGAAAGTATGGAGATAGCAGTATAAAACGTGGAAAGAATGGGAAAAAGGGGAAAAAGTAGGAAAGAAGAAAAATAAAAGGAAATCATTAGTACATGCGCTGATCACACAGTGCCAAAGCACACCATTCAAATGCAAACAGCTTTCCATTTTCCAGTGTGATTAAGTATGAACATGCAAAATAAAAAAGCCATTGTAAAACAGTGAGGTAGATTTCTCAAACAGGTTACACAGCACGAAAGCTCCATTTAGACCACATTTCTTCATTTATGCTATCAAGACTGCATGAGACTGAGATGCATGCAGGAAATACAAGGGAAATACTGTCACAAATACGAAGAGTACAAAATTTAGTGCATCTACAGAGTCCACAGACACTCAGTTATGCAGAGCTGCTGCATGAGTCTACAGTTTTTATATGACTTAAAATTGTATTTAAACCTATATACAATTCCAATTTCCAGGATCAGTGAAGTTAAAGATGACCCAGAAACATGAATCAATCCTATCATCCTACTCTAGCATGAATAAAATAAACTCAAATGTGACTTCCATATCAAATTTCATCGAATAAGATACTTCTTTTGTATTAGAAGTTTACTACAGCCTTGCTTAAAGAAAATAGATGCTTTTTTTGTTTTGGTGGGTTTTGTTTGTTTGTGGCGGTTTTGTTTGGTTTTTTCAGTGGTGTTAGCACATTTAAGTGTTATTTGAAGCCTGTTGGCACACCAGATGAACAATAACTTATACACTAACACATCTGCTGGTAACAGTCAATCTTAAAGGGTTATAATTTATGGATTTCTGTGCACTACTGTTGATCTACATTGGTTTAATTAACTTACAAGTGGCCTGAAAAGGGAAATGTGGCAAAAGTTTTTCAGATTTATTATTATTTTTAATTTTTAAAAAAAGTGCTCAGATAATTAAAAAAAAAACCCTCAAACGTTTTCCTTTCTCAAACAGAAACAAATCAGTGTGGCTTCTACATGTTCCACTTTTCAGTAAGATCAAAATACAAAGAGTGAAACTGTCTTACTATGAAAAAAATGAGTATTAGTGTGGAAATCTTTAATCAAAAAACAAATAATAATTCTATCTTCCCACTTACACTGATACAATAGACCAATGGGAACAGATCAGACAAAGAAGTTGTTCAAATATATAGGTTTCTATGCAACAGTTTGCATCAATTTAAGCTATTCTGAAAACTATTTTACTCAAATATTTGCAACAATTTAGAGACTAACATATATTTAAAACTGATCTAGCTGTAAATATTATAGTGTTCATTAGGCCTGAAAGATTTACCATTACCACTGTAGTGGTAAAAATGGTAAAAGCCCTTGCTTTATGTCTCTTTTCAAATCAGAATAATTACACTGGTGTAAGCACTCTCAAATTGACCTAACTGCATTCCAATCTTTAAACATATTCAACACTGAAATGGTGACTGTGTGGAGAAAACAAATTTGCAAATATCAGTAGGCCCTTAGTGAAAAGACTGGTTTAACTGTGCTTACATTTGACATCTGTATCACAGCTACGGCAAAAATTTAATTTGGAGAAGGAACTACATTTTCAGAAGGAGAAATCAGATTTTCGACTAGAGAAAATACTTTATATCACACATAATAGGTATATGCTTTCATTAGTAGGTGCGTGTAATTAATTTTCAAGTGTAAACTTGTGCATACATGCGTTTGCAAAAGCATTTTCACACAAATGTAATGGAAGTAATCATAAAAATGGCTTGTTACATCACTGATCCCTGTGAACTCAGCTGTGAAATCAGTTGATGAATTGTTGGTAAAACATAACATTGGGGGTACGCATGCAAGCAAGATGAAAGGAAGGAATATAATACAGAAAAATGTATTCACAGTATCCTCAACATCTGTAACATTTCAAAATTAAATCTCTAAAAATAAAACTGAAAAGGAGTCTATTGCCCTTAAGGATGCACTAAGGAAAAAATTATTGTACAACAGGAAAATCTAGCTTAAGGGTTGAGGTTTTTTATACTATATATTTGTAAATGTTTCAACCCAGACATATTGCCTAAAAAAAAGGGGGGGGAGGGCGACAAACAAAAACATCTCCCAACTGACATAACTTATAAAGATCTTTTCCAACAGCTACCTACTGTTTTGTTGGGTCTTTACTGCCTTCCATTCTCCAACACAGTTGCCACTGCACGTTTTCCAAAAAGTAGCTTTAAGAATCAAAACCTGCAAATACTACTATAGCATTGACCCTTGAGCTTATGACATGCTTACGTGATTTGATGTTGGCATCTCTGTAGGTGCCATTCAGAATTGCAAGCTCCATCAGCTGCATCTTTTTAAGGCTGTCTTCTCCTTCTGCCTGCATATGAAAAGATAGGAAGAAAGTCAGGATTATAAATTTGCTAGTGCACAAGATCCAAGGGACCTAGAATAAAATGTCTTCGAGCAAAATACCTGCTTACCATTAGTCACAAAAACAGCAAGCTTTGCTAACTTTTCCTTAAAATTAAGGGCAAGTTGCCTGTTGTCAACATTAAGTCAAGTTGACAAACATCTTTAAAAGAGTTTTGGAAAAGAAAGCTTCATAACATAAATTATAAAAATAGGGTTAAATATAAGTTGTGTTTGATAGAAACTGTTTAAGGAAATTTCTCCTCAAATATGTGTTCATGTACTCCTAAAAGTATCTTTTTAAAAATCGTATTATTGGGCCAGAGGAAGAACAGGCATCATGGATTTTATGCACTGCAATTTATTGTAACTTGCTCCACTACAGTTGACTGCTAGGGAGGTGGGGCAAACAAAAATAAACAACAAACTTTGAGTAGCTTTCCAGACAGGATATTGACAAATGTCGTAAGGTTGAATTCCTGATTCTGGCACATGTAGATGTATTCCGATGAGGATATAACCACTATTTACATGGCATACATTATTCGTGGTTTTGCTTCAAAATAAGTTACTTCCCTGAAGTTATCCACTCCACTAGTATCATGCAGGTTGCATAAATATTAAGTAGTGTTCAGTAAAAAAGGGTTCACTTTTTCAGTTAATAACAAAACTTTTCTAATAGTATAATTTCAGTTTTAAGACCAGGTATTTTTTGACCTGTCTTTCCAGAAATACTACCATTTGTTTAGTCTACACTCTAACATGCAGAAAACACAGTTATGATATAGGAAACCCCAGAGAGATGGTCAATGTCTACTTTAATGTTAGGTTACCCCTTGCTTCTTGTATAGAATGTCACTGCTGAAATTCTCAGATGCAAAAAAGGGCAGCTTCACTGTCAGCTGCATTGCATTCTTCCTTTGCTAAACTGAGTTTCTTACATTTTTACTTATCTATTCACACAATATTTTGCAGGTATTTGGAACAGTATTTTCCAAGTTAATGGGAACCTGTGTAATAACATACTGAGCCATCCACTCTGAAAATCTGAAGTCTAGTTTCAGAGAGAGTTGTTCACCTCTCTTAAACTACACCTCTTACAGAGGTTTGAACTCATATTTCCAAGGGCATGAGTGAAAACAAAAGAACAGAATTAAAAGCCACAAAGAATAGCAATCACCACCAATAACTGTCTACTAAAGCACTGCACCAGTGAAACGTCATCTCAAAGTAGTTATGAGTTAGCATAACTAACTCATAGCACTGTTCCAAATGTATAGAGAAATATATTTTCAGGCTAGTTTGCAGCAACGTACTGTCATGCATACTAAGGATAAGGAATTTACTAAATTACAAGACAAAAATAGTTTTAAAATTTTATCTAAGCAAATACAGTACTTATTGTGAGGTGTGTTCAAGGGCCACCACATCTTGCAATGGAAATTTTAACAGCTGGTTTTTATCAACAACATAGAATCAACATGGTAAGATGGGTCAACACTAAATTTCTTTCAGACATCAGAAAGTCCTAATTGTATTACTGAGGGCTTGCATAAACACCTAGATTATCAAACTGTAATAATTTATGTCGTTGTTAAACATTCAGAATGTACTGAAAATTAGATATTTTCTTTATATATTAAATACTGTATGACAGACCAAGCTGACACTAGTACTGAAAAAGCAAATGCACATTCAAGTACCATTTTAGCTACAAATTAATTGTACAGTTAAGTACTGTAGTATCCAGAAACCTCAGACTCCATAGCCATTAAAATGAGACCCTTCGCAATACAAAATATACCAATTCTAGCAAGCTTAACATGAGATACTCAGAACAGAATTACATTTTAAATGCAAAATTGTATCTCCTATTTTTAAAAGAAACTATTATTTCATTGCATCTTTGTTGATAAATTACCTAGGCAATCATGACACAATAAAAACAATTCCAAATCTATCTCCCCATCCAGAGCTCACAAATTCTTGTCATTCTGGATATACCTTATCTAATTATTTTAGCAATAAAGATTTTTTTTTTACCATTGATTCATCTTTTCCTCTCTCCCCATAACAGTTACACTGTTATTGGCTTTTTGTTTGTGTTCATGTATTTATTTATTTGAAAGTGTGCAACAAGAAAACTTCCTCACAATGTCAGTTGCATCTCCCATACAGTTCCATTAACGTTACTAAAATTGCTCACTTCTTCCAAATAAGACTTCAGGTGATTGATCTACACCATTAATAAGTCTCAGTAAATGCTGAATCTTACATTCCACTTGCTACGATAATTTTAGCAACTCTAATCCCAGATTTTGCACCACAGTGAATATTTCCCTATATAACTATTTATAGGATAATAATTTTGAGAGACAGAAAACATTTCTACCCAAAAGAAGGAGCTATAAGTCCAAGTAATTATTCTTACTTTGGATCTTTAACATTTTCCTGTAGGTCACTATTGCTTTCTATAAAAAAAGATTACCCACGTTTTACAAAGTATGTTTATGAAAACAATAATGGACTTCATCAAACAAAGCAAACAAAGTCCTTGATTTTTATTTTTGAGATTTACTTCTCTGGACTACTGCTCAGCTGTTGATAAACTTCTTTTAAACCGACCCCAAAACATTGCTTAAAACTTTTCCTTAAAGACTGCATCAGTAACAAATCAGAGATGTGGACTTGCATTACCAGACATTAACACTAACTTTTGACTTTTGGTACTTTGATTTTTAAAGCACTTATTAGGAAGAAAAAATCCAACCCAAACAAAAACCCAACCAAACCACTTAACACCTTTAAGCTGACCACAAGGTCATCGTTCCGACTCCTCCCAGAAGATGGCACTGTTTATTATACAATACTGTCTCCATAAGACCTGGGTGCTTAGCACTATTTGCACCACTCTACTGGTATTGCTTAAAATCCTGCCACCCTCTCGCATCCTAAACTTGAAACAGTCACTTGCCACATCTCCTCAAGGTGAAGTCACAGAAGTGGTCAGGACCCTTTCAGACACTCTGTCGTGTCCTACATTCTCTGGCATCAAGATCTCCACTTGAACATCATTCACCAATAGCCAATACCTCAAATTTCCAAGAGCTGGGACAGAGCAAGGAGTACATGTTTTTTTGCCTGCCCTATCCTCTCGCTTCTTTGCTGACAAATGATCGAGTAAGGCACACGACTCGATCTATCTTAGCTCCAGGCATTTCTGCAGGCACTCTCTGTCAAAGCGAAGAGAGGTTGCATCAGGGATACAAAGGCAATCTCTAAAGGGACAGTACATTACCTGTACAATAGCTGCAACAAAGCTCAGTCATTTGTACCGAAAGGAAGCTACTTTGAGCAAACATCAATAAGGTCACTTAAAAGCCAGATTTGCATTACTAAGTTGAAGCTCAAGTGATTGCCTCAAACTTCTCATCCTCTTAAATCTCCTGTGCTTTCCTTCTATTTATCATGTACAATGTAACATGCAGATTAAGAAAAAAACTCCTTAAATGGTATCTTGAAACATAATTCTTTAAATATAAGCACTTGCAACTGCTCACTGAATACAAACACCAAAGAGATGCAAGTAGTAAATCCTAACAAAGCCAACCCCGCACAGACACCAGGGGTTACTGATTTTTAAACACATGGCCCCATACGCTTCAGAGTAGCTCAACTCTACTTGGGCAAGCAATAAATAGACCTAAAGGAGACCAAATGGCAGTGAGAACTATCATTTTAAGTAACTTGCTTAACAGATAATCCTTTATCAGAGTAGAATTAATAGTCTCAAGACTCAAAACACTAGTAACAAGTGCCACCTTTGTGAAGTCTCCGGGGAAACACTTCCTAAATTTCAAACTAAATACACAGCACTGACCCTACAAATGCCCAGTTAAAACCACAACTGTCTTCCCTACATTGGACAAAACTGACAGTTTCACAAAAAATAAAATAATTAAAAAGAAAAAAGGAAGAATAGAATAAACTGCTATTAGTAAGAGCTTGTTTCACGTCATGAAATGGGGGGCTCAGAAAAAACACTAAGGAATTCTTTTCATTATCAATGTCCAAACTGTACTTCAACCTCAGATATTCTAAGATCCCCAGAGAATCCTTTTGTTTAACTAACGCTTCTAAAATTATTTTTAGGCACTGAAATGTCTCAGATTCTCATACACACATAGTACACCCTGAAGAGTATCATACAGTTTAACTTCTTATTTATATACAAAACATACACACAACTAGATACACATGTTATCAAAGTGGTAGACAGACACGCATGCAGACTCCAAATGTAAATGCCTTCACTGTGCTATGTTGATGAAGGACTTCAGAAGACGACATCAGTTTTCAAAGGTGACAGATAGACTGTTAGATTCTGTGTACAGTCAACTCTGAGAAGCCTGTAACAAATTACAGCAGAGAAGAAAGGTACTATCTTAAAATAAAAGAAGGATCAAGTAGCAATGTTTATGACAGAGCAGAGATCCACAAGCTAGCATCCAGGAGAGACAGTCAGTGCCCACACTGCCCTGCCATACTGCTGCTGGATCCAAAAGGAACACGACTGCAGTTCACTTAATTCAGAAACCAAACACTCCACTTATTCGTGTGATAGTAGGGATGCTTAATCCTGACAGAGCTTCTTGAGCCTCACAGTCTCACTCAGCTAAGTCTCAGAAGGTACTTCAATTCTCATTAGTACTAATGCTGAAAGGGAAGGCTTTCAACGTACCTGTACCAACGTAGATACTTTCCCCATAGAATGCTCAATTTTCTTTTAAAGTAACCACTTTGGAAAACATAACAGATACATTTTTTTCTAAATGCATAACAAACAGATACACTTATTTAGGTGATATTAGTGACTTTCACCGACAGTCTAGCTTCCAAATGTCATGCATTTTGGAATGACATTTTTTCAAGCCTGTCACATCCCTGCACTTCAGTTGAATTCTCATG